TTCATCGTGCCACCCTCTCCTCGGCCCCGTCTGTCAAGAAGCCAGCCGTCAAGCATGTGCGGTCTACGAGACGGCACCCGCTTCCTCCCTCAGCTGAACCGATCCCGGCCGAATTACGAGGGAAGCGGAAGCTGTCTGGCGGAGAAGCACCGTCGAAGAGACGGAGAAGCAACCCCAGGACTTCTGGTACCACGGGAGTTGAAGATGTCTCGATGACGAGTGATTCTGGACAGAGTAGTGGAACCGCAAACAGCAGCCTGACGTCCTCCGACGGCTCTTCGCAATTTATTCTCGCCACCCCTTCCAAGGCCCCAACATCGACCGCCTCTGAACCTGTTCCGAAACCATTACAGATCCAGCCTTCCTTCACACCATTTCAGACTGCCCCTTCGACTCCAGTGATGGTCAACGCTGAGGCTGGACCGTCGACACCACCCTCCGACCGTGTTTCTGACCTTCCCTCCGCCGTCCCTTCCACTCCCGCCGCCCAGATTTCCCACCCTCAGCCCGTCGCGCCCACACCCGCACGGGAAATCCTCCGTCTGACGCCGAAAGAGCTCAAAACAGCTGCCGACACCATTCTTCCTCGCCCACCTACACCACCCAAAGTCACCGAGCGTTCAGCTCGGAACGGCTACCCCGCATGGGCCACTCCGAAGACGACTGTAAAGAAGCCGCCCTCGGCGTTCTTTACGCGGCAAGCGATGACAACAGCTCGGCCAGGAATTCGAGCACCTGAGCCCGTGCAGCCCGTACCCTTTGCTTTACAGCCTCAGGTGCAGCTGCCGCCTCGTATGGACAGGCCCGTGGCTGCACTCCCAAACAGGGCTCGGGTCCATCCCCTCGCGACACCGGCAAGGCAACCGAACCCCCTCGCCACTCCGGCAACGAGGAAGATTACGGTGCCTGTTCCATTCGGAGGAAGCGTCAGTCGGAGCACCCAAGCAGCCGCGAACCGAGTAATGGCAACACCCTCCAAGACGTCACATACCACGCCGCTATCGCTGCCGGCCAAAACACCAGGGCCCGCGCTCTCGAAACCACCGCCGCCGATGCTCCATATCGAGGAGACCGACGAGATGGATGTGGACACTCCTGCCAATCTCCCGGTGAGCAACACGCCCGCCGCTGAGAAGCCTGCAGACATTCCAGCGGTGGAACAGGCGAATGCGACACCGGCCCCCGCTCCGTCGGCGGCAACGGAAGGCCCGGCTGCAACACAAGCTGAGGAGAGGGTCATCGCCACCGCTGCGGTACCGCCAAAGACACCCGCTCCTGCACCTGCGGCGCCGCCATCGACAGTAGCCGGGTCCACGCGAACGCTCCGCAAGCGAGCACCAACCATCGCAACCTCGCTACCCGCTCGCCGACCTCACAGCCGCCCCGCCTCCGTTGCTGGAACAGTGATGGGACCGCCACCCCTCAAGACATCGTCCGTTGACGTTCCTAACAAGGCCGCGGACGGTCCCCGATACCCCTCCTCGCTGGGTAGTGGACCCTTGAACCGTCCTGGATCACGCGTGGTCTCTAACAACTACCGGTCTATCTCAGCCCCTACGCCGTCGTCGGCGAAGATTGAAGAGCCAAGCCTTCGCTCGCTCAGCTATCCCGCAGGACGCGATAAGGAGAACGCGTCGCAGGGGCAGGTCAAGGCCAAGCCTCGCGAGTCGCTGTCCATGTCATCACGGCGCGCTGACACGAGCCTGTGCATCTCTTCCCTGGACGACACTCTCGCGCGGCTGAAGGCGAGGAACAAGCCGGACTTCAAGGCCGCGCCGAAGCGTGTCCTTTCTGCTGCGGCCGTGCAGGATGACAAGACCGACAAGACGAAGCTTCTGGGCGTTACACCGCGTTCCCTGTCCCTGGCGTCAATGCCGCAGACAGAGCGGCACTCTGCCCCGTCCCGCTTCCAAGTGCTCGTGGACAACTCGCAGCAGACTGCAGTGCTGAAGGGTGTCGTTGCGTTCGTCGACGTGCACAGCGCCGAGGGCACCGACGGCAGTGCGCCATTCATCGACATGCTGAAGCTGTCGGGAGCTCGCGTGCTGAAGCGCCCCAGCGAGAGCTGCACGCACTTCATCTACAAGGACGGCAAGCCCTCGACTGCTGCGTTCTGGCGCCGGCTGCCCGAAGCGAAGCGGCCCGAGGTCGTCGGTATCCGCTGGGTCACGATGTGCCGCGAGCGCGGCAAGTGGATGGAGGAAGCAGGGTTCCGCGTCGACCTCAACGAGCAGGACATCTTCCAGGTGGTAAGCTGGCGTACCGATGTGTAGCTGACAACAGAAACGCAAGTCGATGGAGCCGAAGCGACTCGAGGCGAAGCCGTTCCTCACCAAGCTCTCCGCCGCCAAGGCGATGCCCCAGCCTCCGCCCATGCCCAAGAAGCAGCCTTATGCGAGTGAGTTGGCGCACACCGGGACATGCAACTGACATCTGCCCAGCCAAGGTGTCTTCCCCCTTGAGGCAGACGATGCTCGCGTAGGAAGCAAGTTCCGCACATGTCAAGCAGCAGTGACGCCGTGTCTCCCGAGATCTTCTTGACCCCCCTCGCATTCAATTGTAATTTTGCAGCGTGTTCAGTATTAAGCCACCTTTTAATGTATGTCTGTCATTGTTTTTGTACGACTCGGGCTTTCGGGGATTGATGTCCGTCTCGCCGACTCTGCCGGTTGGCTCGATGATCGGCGCTGTGTGATCCCCGTGTTTGATCTTTACGGCACGGCCATGACTGGTAGTTGGTTGGAGTGGCAGACACCGGGCCACCGGACGGACACGGACAGGCGAAGCTACAGCAGTCGTAAGAAGGGAAACAAGGTGTGGCCGCAGGGCTGACGCAGGGTCGCTGGTCGAGTTGAAAGCTTAACCGACGGAATGGGAAGCTTCGCCAGTTTTGGCCACGGCGATCGGGGTGCCTTTTGGCTCACTACGGGTCTGTAGAGTTACTCGGACATGGGCGGTGGTTGATTGTTGGTTCAAGTCTAGGACAATGACACACTGACACACTCGAGCCCAGGAGGCTCCCAGTTTTCTTATTTCCCGAGTTCCTCGAGGGTTAAAGGGGCACATAGGTGCACGCTGTAGACGTTGAGAACAAGGGCTGTCTATGTTAGACATTGTGTGCATGACAGTACTCACTGAACGGCGGTGCCCGCCGCTCGGCTCGCGCGTGAAGGTTGGCCGTGAGGGGAAGTGTGAACCGTGTATATTCCCCGGTGTCTGAAACGTGAGTTTGCAGCCCAGAGTTCGCAGACAAGCTCGTTGCGCAGTTTGCATCAACGACTTGCGGACCACGAAACATGATGCGGGCAGAAGAAACACGAAACCAGCGATACTGCAGAGCTCCTGACCAGCTGTCTGCAGACACTTGTCCCAGCTTCCTCGGCGGTGTAAACATCGGTGTATTTAGGAGCGACTTGGCACGACGTTCAGGGACTCCCGCCGCCATCAGGCGAAGTACATCTTGAGTGTCAGGGGAGTACGCAGACGTGCCTCAGTCGTATGCTTACTGCCTCCGACCAGGCCAGCCTCCAGCCTCACAGCGAGAGGGAGTGCCTGGCTGGAAATTCGGGAAATTTCGAGTGAGCAAAACGCAAACAAGCAGCAATCTGGCTGGCTTGTCATGACGACGCTCGTGCTAGCCATCAAGAGCGCATTGCCTTCGAACCCTTCTCGTCGTGAGGACGGTGATTTCAGCCTCTGCACTAAGCACTCCACGTTCCAACTTTTGGCCAAGCTGCAAAGCGGAGCAGAATAGCAGAAGAATTTGGGGGAAGAGAGGAAGCGGTGCATCCCCATCCCGCGACTTAGCACGTCGAGACAATTCAGCAGAATGAATTGTCTCAAAATGGCTGGGGCGGTAATGTTGCAATGTCACAGGCAGAAGACGACATGTACCTCCCGTAACCACCGCGTTCCCGGAAACAGGACCTGAGACATGCAAAGAGAGACGCTGATCGTCGTGATGAGTGCTGTCTGCCCAGAGGGTAGTGCACAGACGATGCGAGGCTGGCGGACCTGACAAAGGGTTGGCTGGATCCTGAGCCAAAAATGAATATTCTGGGCAGGAAGGTTGAGTTGCACAGTCTCTTAGAGAGCTACAAGTAGCTGCCCGCCCAACCCTCGTTGGACTTCAGTCAGTCGGGAATTGGAGCTCTTGGTTCCCGCAAACGGCGCGCATGACTTTGAGTTAACCTCCCTTGGGCCAGGTGTCGTAATGGAGTGACGCCCATTCGCCCGATGCCGTCTCCCTGCCGAGCTCCCGACTGCCCGGGCGCTTGGCTGGCCGGGTTTCAGCAACGGCGATGCTTGGCCGCATATATACGTGCTACAGGATGGTGCGCCCGCTTTGTCTTTCGTCTGTATCGTCTCGTTCTCCTTGCTTTCGCTTTGTCTTGACTTGGGTCGTTGCTGGAACTGTTCAGCCGCCCACCACACTCCTTTCACTTCTCGCCTCTGAGTCCGACGCTCTCTTCCAACTCCCGCCTCGTTCAACTTGGCCATCGCCAGTGGTCCTCCGACGCCATCTGACCCCGCGCCACCCCCTCACTACTCGACAGACACCTCGATACCCGCCTCGCGATGAAACTCCTCGCCCTGGCCCTCATGGCCAGTCTCGGCCTCACCAGGGCCGAAAGATCTGAGCGACGAAGCCGCACCGTCGCCGTAGCCGAGAGAGGAATCGACATCCTCCCCGAGCGCAATCTCGACGAGCGCTTCCTCCTCTCGACAATCACGCAGATGACAGTGACGGACGGACCCTCACACGAGCTCAACAAGAGCATGATCGACTCCTGGACCCAGACGGCGCATTACGCTTCGTAAGTGTCTTCTTCTACTTGGACCTCTCTTCTCTTTGCAAACGTCTTTGCAGGATGGTCATAGAGACGTAGCAGAGAATTTTGGTGTGGTGAAGGTTCAGACTGCTGGACGAATGACGACACGGGAAGGACTTGTTGCGGCAGCGGCCGAAGTCAGGTCCGGGGTCAGGGGTGGTCCTGAGGAGGGATCGCCATTCCGCCGCCGCGTCGTCATGTCTCGACCGCGTCCTGAAGCCACGGCCCTAGGTCGTTGGAGTGGACCTGTCGTGGCTGGGCCGTTGCAGAGCAGAGCTGCAGAGCAGTCCTCCAGTCTCTGACTACGCGGCCTCGGCGCTTTAGAAACCAAAATATCAGTTAGCTGACCCCAGTGCGATCCGGTGCGACATGAACGAGCTCAAGGCGTGGACGTGCCCGCACTGCGTCGACGAGGCAAAGGTGCTCGCGACGGGGGGCACCGACGGCATCACGCCGTTGTGGTACGTCGCAAGCAACAACTCGCACATCATCGTCTCCCTCGCTGGAACCAACACGAAGCGGCTCGACAGCATCAACACGAACCTGCAGTTCCTGTCCCTTGTTCCTCTGCAGGAACACTTCCCGAACACACTCATGTCCGGAGTCCGGATACACTCGGGGTACTACCAGGCCTTCATCCTGATCCAGGACGCGATCATGAGTGCGATCAAGTCCGAGATCGACAAGACGGCCACGAAGGAGATCGTCGTGACCGGTCATTCGCTCGGCGGCGCCATCGGCTCCATTCTGGCCACGTATCTCCTGCTCCAGTTCCCGGACAAGGTGACGGGACGCTTCTTCGCCCCGCCCCGGCAGGGCAACCAGGCCTGGGCCGACTATGTCGATAAGCTCTCCAAGGGGCGGATTCAGCACATGAACAATTTCAACGATATCGTGCCACACCTCCCGCCCCGTGCGCTCGACTACAGGCACTACGGGCACGAGATCTACATCACGTCCTGGGGCGGGGAGGAGTACATCTCCTGCGAGGGGCAGGAGAATCGTAAGTGCACGGGCCAGTTCATGCGCGCCGAGGAACTCATTGGGTCCCTTGTGCCACACCTCGATGCCATTGTGCATTCTGGCCCATACGCAGGTGTCATGATGGGCTGCGTCGGCGACTTCCAAAAGGTCGGCGATGCGGGTGAGGAGAAGCCGACGAAGCAGGGTACAACGAAGAAGCCCCAGCAGAGCGAGGAGGACAAGAAGAAGGACGACAAGAAGGAGGCGTAGACATTTCGCCAAACCCGCCACGGACACTGCTGGACACTATTAGCCATAGACCAACTTCATGTATTGTTACGACTTTCCAGCCACTTTTCCCCACAGAGAGAGAGAGCGTACCACATCCGCTTAATACCGATACCGTGAGATACCGAGTGTGTTAGTGACAGACATCGAGTGAGAGGCATGAGAGGTGTCATGTGAACGAGGAGTACACGCTACGGCCCGAACGGCGAACAGCACGTCAAGTGACCGGACCAACCCAGATCCGTTCTCATGCCTCAACTGGACGCGATTCAGTTTCATTCAGTTCATTCATTGTCGAAAGTCCAGATCTGTCGTCATATCAGCTGACGGGGTGCATACTAGGCCTTCCAGATCTGATTCTGTCGCCCCGGCTTGGCCCGGTTTCGCGTGTTCTGGCTTGAAACCAGGTTGGGTCGATGAGCCGATGGCGTCCGGGCCGTCCCGGGGTACTTCCGGCTTGGGGCGGGCCGGTAGATTAACAGCTGGTCGTGTGAGCGGCTGTAGACAATGCTGTGGCAGTGGACATTTCGACGGAAGTACGTTGTCGATAATGCTCAGAGGGGATCAGAATGGACGGAGAGGAAGACGCAGTGTGCAGAGACCAGCGGAGGCGGAAGCAGATGTAAGCGCAATGGTGTCGTCGACCTTTGGCAGGATGGATAGGGCGATGGAGTGAAGACGACAACGAAAAGCGGATCGATTCGCTAGGAAGAGTGGCAGTTGCCGGAGCCCAGGACTATTGACGCCCCCTTCCTGTGCGCAGTCGCCATCCATGGACGCTGCAGGCGTCCCAATCCACTCAGCTACAATCCATGAGCTCAGCAGGTTGCATGCATATGTTCAATGCATCCACCGTTATGCATGCGGTCCGCAGGCTCGAGGTTGTGCGTACGTTGAGCGAAGTCAGTCTTCGAGACGACAACTTCGTCTTCGGATGTTGATGCTCCAGTGAGCCCAGTGGCCACTCGAAACTAGACAAAACGGGGGGCATCCATCCATCGTCCGGAACCCCTCAGAGACCCCGACAGCGCGGTCCAAGAACCATACCTCACACAGCAAAACCCCGTCGGCCAAACTGTCGAGATAAGCATAGCAGTGTGATCCCAGTGATCCAGTGATCCCGCTCACGAGACCTACTGCGGTAGCGTGCCGCCATTCATGGGCAGGCTAGGGAGGCCTAGCGTCGCTAGCGTCCCTCGACGGGGATGATCCGGGCGAGACGTGATGACTCGAAGGATCAGAACGAGCTCGTTGCACGTCCTCGCCTCGGATCATCGTAGCTCTTGTGACATGACGTGGGGATCATCTGTCTGCCGCGCAATGAATCGGAGTGAATGGCAGGAAGCGCAGCAAGTGGTCCAGACAATAAGCAGCGAGTGCAGCCACGCCATCTGCCCTTTCCTTTCATCAATCTGGGTAGCGGTGATGCAGAGTGGAGTCGGGTGCCTTGCAGCGTAGTTTGATACCAGCGCAGGATTCCAGTGTCGCGGATCCCTTGCTCCCTTGCTGCAGCAGAATGTCACGGATGTAACGTGAGTGCGTGGGTACGTGAGTACAACGCGCAGCGGAGAGGCTGTGCTCATCATCTGCTGCTTCGGGAAGGACAGCGAGTCCAGCGCTGGCATCATTGAGCTCGCTAGTACCGGTGGTGGCAGGGAATATCGATCTGGGGATCGAACATTCAAGCACTGGCGGCGGGGCGTCAATAGCGACCATGATGACCATGACAACGACGAAGAGCTAGGTGGCAGGCAGGTCGGGCTTGGAGCGCAGAAGGCCCGAGGGGCAGGTAGCGGCGCAGGGGCGGGAGGCAGGCGATGAGGAGCACCCCTATGATGGCTTCTGGGCTCACGCCAACGCCATCGCGCCCAGTTCTCCCCCTTCCTTCGAGTCATGATGGACAGAGGTTGAGTCAACCGCCCGACAGGCGTCAGTCGCCGTCACCTCGGCAAATCGGTCACCTAGCTCGAGCGGGCGTGCTCCATTCGGGCATTTTCAGCCATCAGAGTAGCCCCGTAACGCGCGTGACACTCGACTTACGAGCGACCGAGGACGAAACCCACGCATTCACGTTAGGTCAGGCGAAATTGCAGAGAAAATTTTCGCCTGCGCGGATTCGAACCTGCTGAGGCGAACGCGTTGAGCGTCTGAGCTTGACCTGAGGGCCGGACTAGCGCTCTCACGCTAGTGGATGGATGCCCTGTGATCCCTGGAAGCCCCGCGACGCCTCGACATGCCCTGCGACGCCCAGACTATCCCGAACGACGCCGAACGACGCCGAAGTTTACCGCTTATTGCGCCGCGGTAATCGTCCTCATTACGGGCCCCTGCTGGCGCAATGAGGCGTTGAGGGGGCCCGGCAAACGGGGGATCGGTCCGCAAGCCTCTCCCTCCAATTGTTATTAGTCCTTGACGACGGCCCTGTACTAGTCCTTGTTATTTCACGTCCATATGGGTCATTTGTCCTTTGCTAATGACGCTCGTTGACCGTCGGAAGTGGACAAGCATGGCGATGTGCCTCCTCTGCGTCCATGCGTCCGTCTCTGCGGACCATAATCTCCGCTCGACTAGCGATGAACCATGAATCATGAAGCACGAGGCAGGAGGGGAAACCGAGCGTGAGAAGTTGAGAGCGTCAGTAGGCGGCCGGTGGCGAATTGGACCATACCTCCGCAGTCCCTGCACGCAATCCGCCGTGCACTCGCATGCCAAGTCCCGGTCCGTCAGCGGAAAGTCAGATTGCGTCCTTTCCAGAGTTAGAAGACGTCGCAGCGGTGTTCAAAGGGATGTGCTCAGGACGTTTAACCAAGATACAGAGCGCCGCTGACTGGTTGTATGATCGCCGCGTGGTGCACGCGAATAACTCGCTAGCGCGTGCCTCGGTGAGGATCGGAGGTTGGCCAATGGTGGTGGCAAGAGGTGCGGACATCGGCGCTGGATTGTTCTAGAGGCACGGGTGGATGCATGCTTTTCCAGTGCAGAGTCCGAGTCGGGACACTCGAGGGGAGCAATCAGATGGGCAGAGGGCAGGAACCGAGCAAGCAAAAAGGGGTCATGGAGTGGTGTGAATGACGGCAGCGGGTGGTATGACGTAGGACCGTTTTTGCTGCATTTGCTCTGCCAGCACTGCACGCAAGTTAGGGGATGCGCCGAGGAACGCAAGGGGAACAGGTCTTATAAAAGGTAAAAAGAGGGCGGATGCTCATACGACACCTCAGCAAACACACACAATGACCCACCACGACGGACACCACGACGAGCTCCAGCAGGACCAGGTGAGTGACAAGTGACAGCCGTGGCGAGTGGATGGAGAGTGTGGCGCTGACACGGCCAGACCGGCAAGGTCCCGAACCCCGCCAACGAGACCCAGGTGATCGAGGCGCTCGACCAGCAGCGCGCCGTCAACGACCAGGGCTACGTCAAGAAGGTCCTCGAGAACTACATCGACAACAGGAAGAAGGAGGGTGACAACGACGCCAAGATCTCCGAGAAGCTCAACATTGTCCTCGACCGCTTCCCGCACTACAAGAACATTGTCGACGAGATCACCAACGCCCGCGGCCTCCCCCCTTGCACCCAGGGCGACCAGTCCAAGCGCGTTTAAGAGTAGCCGGCGAGACAGCATAGTCAGCAGCATGCAGTGACGCAATAACAGACAACGAGCTCTCTTTTGCATTTTGAAACTACTGAACTACACAAGGGTTTCGGGGTGACACTACCATTTCGCCGGGGAATGGAATTGGACTAATTGACTTATGGGACCGGATGGTGGGTGATGAGTTACTTGACAGCGACCGGAGGCGTGTTCGCCTGCGAGAACTTGGCTGTCTGGCCGGCGTACAGGTCTCCGCCGACATGGGGTTCGAAGCCGTTCTTGGTAAAGATGCCAGGCATCTTGCCAGTACCGCGGGCCATCCACCACTCCTCGGCAGTCATTTCTGGCCCATCCGCCGTCGGGGGCTGTGCATCAATGAGCCCGCCCTTGAGGCGGCGGAGGATGACGCTGTTCTCGGGCCGGCGGAAGAAGACGAGCGACGAGCGGTCCAGCCCGTCCTGCGGCGCGGGAGGGGGCACGACGCGGTGGATATTGGAGCGCAGAATGCCCGCCGTGAACGTGACCATGGCATCGCCGAGGTTCACGATCGGATGCCCGGTCACAGGCTTGACGTAGACCCACTTGCCGTCGTCGGGGCGGCGGATCTGCAGACCGCCAAGCCAGTTGAACAGGATCGTCAGAGACCCAAAGTCGGTGTGCTCGCCCTGCTGCGCGATGACCTCGTTGAACGGCTGGGCGGGCGCACGGGTGAAACGGATGTGGTCGCCAGAGCGCTCGTTCAGACGGTGCATCTCGAGCAGCGTGCCCTTTGCTAGGCCGAGGTTCTTCTCGAGGTGCTCAAACAGAATGTCCATGACCTGGTGGCAAGAGCGCATGTAGCCCTCCAGCGTCTCCTGCGCATCCGTGATCATCTGGTGGCAAGCCAGCCGCTCGTCCAGACCAAGCACACAATCCTTACGGATCTTGGCCGTCAGCACAGTCCAACCTTCTGCCGCCGGTCACTGTCACCTCACAGCCGGTCCATGCGACCTCGCTGCTCGCTTCCCGCGGCGCAGCCTCGGATAGTGACGACGCGAGCAGTGACGACGCGGGGAGTGACACATTCACGGGTGACCATGCGTACCAGCGGCGGCGGCGTTTGCAACTCACGTTGTAGTTCTGGTTACGGACCAGCTCCCCGTTGGCGTCATACTGCCCGGTAACTTCGCCGTAGCGGTACGCGAAGAACTCGTGCAGGTGCGGGCGGCCATACTGATCCTTGACATCGTTGGGGAGAGCCCACCAGCGGTTCTGCAGCGCATTCACGTCCTCGGCGAGTGACACGACCCGCTCGCCCAGGGTAGAGCCAAACATGTCCAGGTAGAAGAAGCCCAGGTCCTTGCACGCCTGGAAGAAGCGGGACGACTCGCCCTCATCGCCGGCTTCTAGCTTGGAGAGGTGGATCGTGAGCAGCGGCGCGGTCGGGATGTCGTCAGGGAAGGGGGGCAGGGTGTGGTGCGAGGTGGATGGCGGCATGGCTAGCGCTGGTAGTGTTGTCAATTGCGGAGTGGGAGTGTGGGAGTTGTGGATGTGGTGGCTGCGTTAGCCGGGTGAGCCGTTAAGGGAGGTAGAGATCCTTAGGGAGATCGTTGTGATCGATGCAGCGGGGGACGATGTGGACAGTGTTCGACGCAGCGGCGAACCTTTGTATGCAGATGTCGAGGATTGGGCAGGTGGGCAAGTGCTGAAGTGGAGATGGATGGCCTGCCTGGGAGGAATGCGGACTTGTGCCTCTCTGATTTCGGCTTTCGCAGAAGCCCGACTTCGGTCATTTCCGACATCATTCTCGTAATCCTCAGTCCTATCAACGGAGCTCTCGATGTCATCCATATGCTGCTGAACGTCATGCATGCGGATTGGACTGCACGTAGTGATTGACCTCCTCCGACCGGCTCTCAGACGGCAATGGGTAGTGCCCGTGTAGGGACCCTGCTCATTCACCGGCACTAAGGCCATGGTCAACGCCTCCGGGCCGTGCGTCCGAGTGGTCCGTCGGACTCTTTCGGCACCGTCGTCCGAGCAACCCTCTCTGCCCGTGCGCCCATACTAACACTTTATGCGTATTCTGCAGGTTGATGTGCACTGCGTGAGAATACTTTCCCAGCCTTGTAGCCCTGAACCATGCCCCTTTGCGGATGTCGAGGAACAGCACTGCCACCCTGCTCCCTCCTTGTCTGCGACTGCTCCACTCCGACTTCATTAACATCGCGTTGTCGGCTGGAAACTGGAACACTTCAGTGAGGTCATCTGTAATTGTCGCTGTAACGCAGAGTCATGCATCCCGTCGACGACTAGCTGCAAGGAGTAGAATCGTTGTGGGGAACACCTTCAGCCATCGCCGTGTGCTGCGGCCACTCACCCCGGCAGCGCCGGCAGATGTTTTTGGGAGTATTGCCGGTGGACTGATTGGGTGCAGAAATCTGCAGAACGGAGAATTCTTATCTCGGTTAGCCGATAATGAATTCATCAACCACTGGTCGCGTGCGGGATCGTCGAGGATGCAACCTCAACTGCGCCTGGAGCATCGCGCCTGAGGAGGCAGGCGACAATAACAGCCATCATGTCCGCAGGCAAGAGGCAAGAAGACGCAGGAGGCAGGAAGAGCACAGGAAGCATCGTGCCCGCACCGTTCAGCGCCAACTGTGGCTGTGCCAAGACCACCTGTACATGACTCTGTCCGCTCAGCCGTTTGTTCCTGAAAGCCTGGTGGAGTCGTCGCAGCGTCGCACAAGGACAAGCGCGCATGTGCTCAACGGAGCTAGCACTGTGAGTACCGTGTTTCACCAATCGGCCCCAACAGGGATGTGAGAGATCCTGCACTATGAGTAGTACTCGCGACCGCATCCACACCATGACCTCAGCTCGGGGTCGCGACCAACCTAGAAGGAGGAAGCAGAGGCGCAGAGGCGGGCTCAGTTGGACCTGCAGGCGGTACAAAAGCACAGGGATGCGGGGCCGAAGACGCAGCAGACGGCTAGCGTCATGAGTCAGGTGGCGCCGATGGCTCACACTCAGGCTCCCACTAGATCGCGCCCCGCCGCCGAGCCCTCACGAACCCACCGCGTGCATCACGGTGCCCTCTGATACCATGCTGCCCGTGCTAACGAGCAAGGTTTGATGCTAACGACGTCCTATCAGCTGCGAGCAAGGCTTCTGGGCCGAAGCGAGAGCGTGAGCAGGCCATCATGACCCTGCTGTTCGCCGATCACGTTCGTGCTCTACCGGATCTCTGCGTCCGCACAGGGTGTCGCGCCGTCACTCTGCCCTCGACAGGGAGCGCACCACTGCGCTCACTAGTGCGAGAGCGCGCAGGAGCGCAGGCGCTAAGCAGGGAAAGGGTCTGTCGCCTGCCAGACCCAGAGGTTCGTGTTTGCGCGATGGGTCTGGGGGAGCAATCCCCACATTGATGCCGTCCCACCACAACACCACTCCTCACCACATATATCAGTGCCCAACATCGTCCGTTTTCTTTTTCTTCTTTTCCATCCGCCAACAGCTTTCTCCACTCCGAGTAACTGTTGACCGGTGTTTTTCTCCTCGTGTCGTGTCCTGTAGCCGTTCCACCTTCCGCTGCTCCACTCTTCTTCCGTCGCCCTTTGTACCTCCCCCCCCCCTTGTCTTCGTCGCCTGCGCCGCCTCCTCCTTTCGCCACCCCGTAGTAACCTCCACCCGACTCCTTCACCCTCCCCCCGGACCACGATGCCTAAGGCCCCGAAGCTTCCCATCACGCGCGGCAGGTCCAGGACTCCGTCCCCGTTCGAGGTTCCAGATCGTGCCGAGTCCCCTCGTGCCGAGTCCCCCGTCGAGAAGCTCAAACCAAAGAACAAGGCTCGCAACTTCGTTATCGACGCATTCCAGTACGCGATTTTCGAAACCTTGAAGCCCCGCATCACCTACTTGGTCTCCGATACGACGAATGAGGTCAAGAAGTCCGAACTTTGGAGGTAAGTGACGTGTGACTTAGTCTGAGGGTTGGGGCTGACTTGCGAAGCGGCGACCTGTTTGGTGTGAGCTGCAAAAATTGCTTCGACGCCGAAAAGGAATGCGAATACACCAACGTAAAACCCTTGGAGTTCAGGGATAACGGCCAGGTGGTGATGCGCCTCGGTACATGCAAGTGCTGCGGGTCACAGCGCCGCGCCTGCGACCCGCCGGTCTTCCAAGCGCCTCCGACGAAGAGTGCCATTCAGAAGCGCAACTCTCGCGACAAGCCGGAGAACGGCGGCTCAGGCGAAGGCCTTGAGGAGGTCCCTGAGGGTGACAGCCCCCCCCGCTTCAAAGGCAGCACCACCCCGCTCGCCACGCCTAACCCCCGCTGCTCTGATCACAAGGGGTGCTTCAAGAGGGAGTACAGCACAGTCCACAAGCGAAACCCTCCTCCTAGCCTCTTCAATCCCAAGACGATGGAGCATGAGGCGTCATTGCTTGTGGCGCCCCTCCCGATGGCCGACGTCTCGTCCTGCACGTCGTCCAGCTCGTCATCCAGTGCGTCGTCCAGCTCGTCATCCAGTGCGTCGTCCTGCGCGTCGTCGTGCGCGTCGTCCTGCGCCTCGTCGCGCGCCGCGTCGCCTGAGCCTCAACCATCGCCCAGTCTTCCCATCAAAGACCTCGATGCTGTTCACTTGTTGCTCACCCTCCGCAACCCGCGTGCGCCTCCTCGTGAGGTCACGCCCCCTCCTGCTTCGCCCACTGCGTCTGTCTCCTCCGTCTGCTCGTTCGAGTCCGACTGTTCCCCCCCGCAGTCGCCGGTGATGCCACAGCTTTCGCTGCTCGGCTCTTCCCGTCCCGACGACTCCGAGCACTCCTACTGCTCCTCCGAGGGCTCGTCCTCCTCCGAGCTGGTGACTCCACCTCTTCAGCAGTCTCTCCGCCTTCCTCCGGACCTTCCCGTCCCCTGGCTGAGCCGCAAGGACAAGGCGCCTCTCCGCCCGACCTTCTCTCCCCCGCCTGTCCGCTCGACCTACACCCCGCCCACGGGTTTCCCCATGCTGTCGATCCCTAGCGACGCGGTGCCTCTCCCCGACAGCCTCCGAGCCTGCGCGCTCTTCCATCCTTAAAGCGACAACGATCGCTGGACATCGGGGACACCACTCTGTCGCTTCGGCGACGGTTCACCCATACAGCCCAATACCCCGCATTGTCTCATCAACAAGTCAAGCGTCAGTCGACGTATCATCAAGTCGAGTGTTTATCAGCACAACAAATGCTCGTCAGCATAACAAGTCAACGCCCATCAGCACATCAAGTCAAGTGCCCATCAGCACATCAAGTCAAGCACATCAAGTCGAGTGCCCATTAGCACTCAAGTGCCCACCATAAAGCCAATATAATACCCACCGAGTAAAAAGTTGTAGTAGTAATCCAAGCCAAGCCGGCCAAGTATAGGCCACGTTGTATCACCCCCCGGAGGTGACCCCAGCTCTTTAGATAGTAATAGTTCGTTCTTCTTGATAATCGTTGTCGCTCTTTTGGTGTTTTGTAGAAGTGAAGTTATGCAAGGACATTTTTAACGCGATCGGGTTGTTTGCGAGTGTTGCGAGTGTTGACAGACGATGCGGACTGCGAGATGGACGTTGCACCGCTACGTCATAGGTACGTGCCGGGCATGATCCGATCTGCGATCCGCCTGATGTCTGTGTGCGGGAGGCTGGGCGCGCGCTGACTGGCTGCAAGCGTAGGGTCGATCGCGGCCAGCGCGGCCAGGCAAGCGATAGGGGTGGGTCGAGCCGTGTCGCTGTCGCGTCGTGCACTGCCAAGAAATCGACGGCCGATCTGCCAGTGAGGTCAGTGACATCGCGTTGTTGCAAGAGGTGTGTGTCGGTGGAGGTGTTGATAGTGGGCCCAAAGAGAAGAATTGGCACAACCTCGCGTGTCAAGTTTGGTTTCTTGGTGCACAAGTTCCGAATTAATCAGGCTCCGTGGAGGCGCGTAAGGTCCGTCAAGGTCTGGGGGAGTATAGACTGTGGTGCGCAGTCGCCTGTCTGGCTCATGGGATGGATGGGTTGGTATGAATGAATGCGGCAAGTAGAGTTTGAAACGATGGCCCAGATCGGCCAGACGTCGCTACGTCATAGACACTGGTGGTCAGGTGGCCACATCTACTGCGGCATGAGGACTGCACACACGCTATACTTTCACCTCTCGACGCCCTACGCCCACGCCCAACGCCCCCACACGACGCCAAGCGCAGCAAGGCTGAAGAGCTGAGGCATTATTGGAGGCACAGAGGCACAGTCCAGCACTGCGGTAATGGGCAAGACAGGCGGGAGCGATACCACACGAACTGATGAATCTGGTGACGTCGAGGTCTGAACGCGACGTCCTGGGGCGTCGTACCGCACCAACTCCCTACTCCCCCCGTCCCACTCAAGTCTAGGTCTGGAGGACCCGCGCCAGCCGCGCCAGCCGCGAGCCGCGCTCCTCCCCCTGTCCCCTGTCCCCTGCCTCCCACCCACCACCCACCTCCATCGTCATCGCCCAACACGCTGCCTTGCTGGCACGAAGGGTGGAATGTCATATATAAACACCCACCTCTCACTCCAAGAGTCGGCCCCATCGTTCGACTGTCAACTCATCTGAACAAATCATCATGGACGCTATCAAGAAGGCTATCACGTGAGTCACTCTTTCTCTTCCACTCGCAGTGCCGGTCGGGAGAGGGGGTGGGGAGGGGGATCGGGGAGACGTCGAGGGGGGCTGGGCTCAAGGAATGGAGACCGCTAGGTCTTAGCGGCGAGATCTGCGGTGGCGTCTGGCACCTTGCAACACAGCTCGTGCTCGGGGTAGTCACGCGTGGGTCTGTCAGCTGCTCGAGACCGTGCTGTTGGTGTGCTCTTCATGTTGAGCGGGTCTCGGTCCAGTCTGTCCAGACCAGTCGAGACTGTCGCCACTGACCCCTCGCTACGTCACTTGCCTCCACCTTGCTCTCTCCTTCCTCCCTCCTCTCCCTCATACCCAACTCGCCCCCTCTCGCTTCGCTCGATCGTGCTCTCTCTCACCCTCGCTCCCTCGCTTCGCTCAGTCGCTCGGTGCTAACCTCAGTGGATGCAAGTGCAAGCCCGAGCAGGGCTGCGCCTGTGCCCGCGGCCAGTGCGAGTGCAAGACGGGCAAGTGCAAGTGTCCCGGCTGCGGCGGCCGTGTCCGCCGCCCTGGCGCGCACTCCTCGTCCTCTTCCTCGGACTCGGACGACGACGACGACATGAAGCGCCGCAAGCAGCTCAAGCGCCAGCAGCGCATGCAGCAGGGCGGCATGGGCGGCGCCGGCATGGGTGCTGGCGGTGCTGGCATGGCTGGCTCCGGCATGGGCGGTGGCCACATGGGCGGCGGCGGCGTCGGACACCAGGGCGCACCATGTGCTGTGATACCATGCTGCCCGTGCTAACGAGCAAGGTTTGATGCTAACGACGTCCTATCAGCTGCGAGCAAGGCTTCTGGGCCGAAGCGAGAGCGTGAGCAGGCCATCATGACCCTGCTGTTCGCCGATCACGTTCGTGCTCTACCGGATCTCTGCGTCCGCACAGGGTGTCGCGCCGTCACTCTGCCCTCGACAGGGAGCGCACCACTGCGCTCACTAGTGCGAGAGCGCGCAGGAGCGCAGGCGCTAAGCAGGGAAAGGGTCTGTCGCCTGCCAGACCCAGAGGTTCGTGTTTGCGCGATGGGTCTGGGGGAGCAATCCCCACATTGATGCCGTCCCACCACAACACCACTCCTCAC